TCGTCTTTGCCGTTGCTGCGACAACAGCCGTCGCTGCGGTGATGCGGTTTCGCGGCATCACGGTCCGCTATGTTGGTGGCGCTCACAGCGTTCGCTTCCCGCTTCAGACCTTTTGGCATGCCACAGGTCCAACAAGCCAAGGCGCAGCGCCGCTCGGCCGTCGAGCAGGACTACGCACTCGTCCTGATCAACATGCTCGCCGGAGCGTTTGGCCTCTTTTTGGCGTGGTGCTGGAACGAGACCGCGGCGACCCTCTCCGCAGTCTTGCTAGAGAATTGGGTGATGAGTCCCAGCTGGGTCAAGGGCGCCGAGGTGGCCACGCTCTGCGCGTACGCGACCGCCCTCACCGCTCTAGCGGCGTGGGCCATCACGCGGCTCGGCTCGCACGCGCAAGACCTGCGCGACGCGGTGTCGAGCCGGCGAGAGAGCCTCCTCGACCAGAGCCTGCCGCTATGGTGTGCGCGCACCTCGCCAGCCCCTCTGCGGCCGTCAGGGAGGGGAGCAGCACGGACGCGCAGATCATTTCGAGCGCGGGTGATAGGGCAGACTTTATCGACCTCTTGTCGATCTCCCTCGGCTACATGGTTGGGTGGGCGTGGTCCGACGCGGCGAAGGAAGAGCGCCCCCGCCATCCCCAGGCCTCGGATGGGGTAGATAGCCCACCCCACCCAACCTTCCTCCCCGCGCCTCCAACAAAGGTGCTATTTCTCGAGGCATTCATCTTTTCGGACGCCGCGGCCTTCTACGGCGCCTACGTCGTGGCGATCACGGCCGCGGAGGTGCTGTACACGAGCCACTTGGCGAGGCTACTCGACAACCCACAGAGCCCCGCCGGGCTGAAGCAGTTCTCGACGACGCTCCACACCGCGCTAGGCTTCATGGTTGTATGTCCCTGGGGCGGGACTCCGTGGAGCCCGTGGCACTCCTCGACCCGCCGGGATTCTGTTCTGTAGGTGGGGTGGGCGTGGAAGGAGTACATGCACTTTCTCATCGAGCGGATCCCGTCCGGGAGCGGGCGCATCTTCGGGCAATACTTCCAGGCCCTCACCTTGTCGATTGCTGCGTGCGTGATCTACCACAAGCTGAGAATGCACGAAGGCCGTGTGGCGTCTCAGGAGGCCAACGCGGAGCAATCTAGCTCCGGCTGAGGCGTGAGCGGGTGGAGGCTGGAGCTGGGACACGCTCCTGAGGAGTTGTGTGTCAGAGCTGAGCGGCCGTGAGCGCTGAGGCAAGCGCTCCAGAGTCGGCCCGTCTCCGGGTATGTCTCGGCGACGGCGGGACGTGGCGCGGTCGCGCATGGACTCGAGCGGGCTCGGGAGACCCGCCCCTGAGCTGCGGCCGGCTCCACAGTCAACCACCCGTGCTGGTTGGATAGAGTATTTTAAACTGAGTATTCAATCATAACGTGTGCAGAGATCGCAATAAGGTATAAGCTGCACACCGCTGCTGTCGCGTACGTACCGGCTACGAGGCCCCATGTCGCATGTCAACCCACACGTTCCAGTGCCATGCGCTGTCCCTCCACCCACACACGACACACACTCATGACGCCCCCGCGCTCTCAAGAGCTGCACCCGCCCCTCGCTACGTCGGCGCGCCGCCCCGCTGCACCTCGTCGATCGCGCCGATGACGAGCTTGATCTTCGCCTTTAGCCTCGCCGCACGGTCAGTCAGCTCGTCCGCCGCCGCGCTCAGCCGCGCCTCGCGCGCGCTGCTGAACCGGACGGCCTCCTCCAGCGTCATCTGCCCAGAGAGGAGGGAGCAGCGGGCGGAGGGAGCGTGGCGCCTCTCGCAGCTCTCGTTGGCGCGACATCCGAATCTCGAGGCGAGGGTCTTGAGGGGCGTAGAGGCGCACGTGGCGAAGAAGGGGCTCTCACAGGAGCCTACCGCGGGAGTCTCAAGGGCGAGAGGTGTCACACGCCTGCGCGTGGAAGCCGAGCCCGACACTCACGTACACCCACGACGTGTCGGGTCTGCAGCAGAGGGAGCGGTGGCGGTGGCGGCGGGTCGGCCGGCAAAAACCTGTGGAGACAGAAGGCGGCAGCGGCAGGCAGGCAGGCGGCGGCGGCGGCGGCGGTAGTGGGTGGCGGAAGTTGTGCGTCGGGCATGCACACATGCTCGCATCGACGTAAAAGTCACAGCCGAGGTTGACCTGGTTAGCGGGCGGGCGGCGCTCAGTCATGCGTCGACGGCCTTGCGACGGCGCGGCGTCCGTGTCGCCATGGAGTGGACTGTGGTCAGGGAGTGGAGCCGGAGAGGCACCTTTGTCTTGAGCGAGTGCAGCTGCTCGTCCAGCAGCATCGTCATGTTGTTGCGCAACTCCAGGCAGTGCGCGATGCGCTCGTACAGCGCGTCGCGCCGCTCGAGCACCTGCTGCAGGTCTGACTTGAGCTGCTCATTGACCAGGTGCTCGAGCGCGGCGGTGCGCTGCGCGGCGGTGCGCTGCTGCTCCGCTGCAGCCATGTGGTGGAAGATGGGCGGGCGCGGGTTTGCTCAAAATTCTTTTTCGTGCGAGGAGTTTTGTTGTTAAATTCGTTTTCCGGGATGCCAACTTTGAGGCGCGAAAGGCGGCTGGGTTGGCGGCGCATGCGGCGGCGCTCGCGGACGACCTCTCAACCCGCGAGCCGCTCCCGGCTCCGCCCCTCGCCCAACCCCCACCCGCGCCTGCGCCTGCCACCCGCGCCACCTCCCCCACGGTGGACCGTCACGTGTTCAACGTCGTTGAACAGTGTTTGACCACGGCGCTGTTCACAGCGCGCGCGGACGGCGGTTCTGCGAGTCCCGCTCAGCAGGACTTTTGTAAAGCATGCTTGTGGCAAGTTATAGACGCTAGTATCGACCTCAGAGACCCAAACCCGAATTGATAATTAAGGCTCAAAGTATGGTCGAACAACCGTCGAACAAACAGGTCGAACAACGAAAAGAGACTAGTGCGACCGCTAGACGGCGGTCTCCGCCGGCCCCAAGGCTGCCCAGCCCCAGTACCACACCGGCCACGTGCACCGTAGCGCTGGAGTTGGTCAGTGAGGCACTAGACGGGCTACGGAACCATGCGCGCGCCGGCCGGATAGGCTGCGCGCAGGGGCCGCGCCGCCTCGATTTCGTATCTCCGCTCCGCGGCCGACTGAGGGGCCAGCTCGCCCGGCGACAAGCCCAGCCATCGCCCAGCGCACCGTATCGACGGAGGGCACGCAAAAACCCCGCATCTACGACTAGGCGTGATAGCATGGCCGCAAGTGCAGCGAATTCGGAATTGTCCCATGAAACAAGTAAAAAATATGCCATGTCCGCCTTGCGTTGTTTCATTACATCGAAGGCTAAGCTCAAAAAATAAAGAAAAAAGAAAAAAGTGCCAAAAATCGGCGCCCCTGCGGCGGGCCATGGGACCCCATCTCCCCCCCGCATGGATACAGTCCCTCCAGGGCCCCCGCCTCCCCCCCCAGAATTCTTCCGTGGAAAATCGGGTGAGTCGTAACGACCGTCAAGCTCTCTCTCCACTCTCTCTCTCTCTCTCTCTCGCTCACACACACACACACACACACACACACACACACACACACACACACACACACACACACACACACACACACACACACACACACACACACACACACACACACACACACTCACTCACTCACTCACTCACTGACTCACTCACTCACTCACTCACTCACTCACACCGCTCACCCACGCG